ATGTAGGCAAAATTAGGCAGCAAAATTTTAAAAAATTACATATATTTAACATTCTTTGTTTGTATCTCTGGAGTATTCGAATGAGGCTGACAATACACAAGTATATATTTACATTATAATTTTCATAAACACAAAAGTCAGTCAATTATTCTTATTGTTGACCTAAAGAGCGACAAGACAATAAAAAAACAGAACTGCATATGAATTTGTAAATCAATCTTTAATACAAATTTCTTTCAAAATGGAAAATGGATTCACACATGGTTCAAAGGGTCAACGACATTTTATTGATACTGCAATTTATTTAAGGTTCTAACATTTTCACATCAATCCATCATTACCATGGTAGTTCGGACACTAGCAGAAGTAACACAAACAAAGGAGACCTTCACTGAGGAGACTGTCAGCCTCTACTGGCCTAACAAAGAACTAAAATAATGAACATCATGGTCTCATTTGTTAGTGGCAATCATACCACTATATTTGATGATAAATTGATAAAGTCATACCTTTAACTCAAAATCCATTCTATTCAAACTTCATGAAATGTAGACAGAGCATTAACAGTACACGCTAACTATGAAAAATAAATGTTCAGTAACAGTACTCAGTCACGTGAGCCTATGCTCGTCTCTCATCAGTGTTCAGAACCATCAGTGGTTCTTTCAGACAGTGTTTGTCATATGACTGTTTTTCCCCTACTGTGTTTTTAATTGTCAAATATCTTCATGTATACGCGTTTTCTCCTCAACCATGAATTCATCTCAAATGTCACTTAACAGAAACTGGTGGCACTAGTCCACAGGGGAGTTTTTGGACGCGAAGGGTGGCACCGCTTCCCAGCATTGATTGCTGCTGGCTGCATCTGATTGGACAAACGCTTTCTGCTCCGGGATTTCCAAATGGATCAACATGGCAGCTTGTTTGGAAACTTTCTCTTATTTTACAGAAATAGTTCTCCGTAATGTGTTCCTGAAGACATTTTAAGTGAGAAATATGCCATGCAGTTCCTGAATCTGTCTTCATTTTACATAGACAACATTACAATGTTACGTTAGTTTCAAAGTTTTTCATGAGTTTCCAGATGTGGCAAGTTGCGTTACAGGACGCCCCTGATGTGCATGAAGTAGCAAAGACCTCTACCTTATGCAAATGAGGGGCAGTAAACATGGCATCCTGTCCCTCAAAAAGCACCGCAGCGCACGGCTGCTCACATAGAAAATGAATGGGCCGCGTGGAAACGACTGATCCTGTGGACACGTGCTTTAACGATGCTACTAAACAATTAACATTTACCTGGTGGGACTCTTGTTTTTTGGAATGTGTATACACTGTATGAAAGAAGGGAAATCATGTTACCTGTGTAGTGGTAAATCAGTGTGAAGACTGCTAAACCTGCTCAGACGCTCAAAAGGATGATAAGCATTATTCTTCCGATATACTGTTGTGCTGTAAGTGTACATACACTGTATGCATTACTTACTTCAAAAATAAATGTTTATCATCATAGTGCAAAACTAATAAAGTCATTCTAAAATGCATTTCTAAAAAAATTATAACTGGTTATGGTTTTGGTCTTAACTTTCTACATTTTGACTGGAATGGTCTGGACCACAACACTGCAACTAACTACAGAAGGAGAACAAAACAAACCACATCATCAACCAAAGTAGAAAAAAAATACATCACTGAATACTTAGAAAATAGAAAATATCTGCTGTGCGCTGTGTGATTATCATTAAATAAACAGGCAAAAAAAAACAGTGGAAAACTACTGCAGTGCATTTTTTCTTTCTTTGACCTCAACATTCACATTCTTGATTGTACATCTGTTGTCTTTCCCTCCTGGGAAACACCAAAGCAACCTCATATATCTGAGAACTTTCAGTCACATCTTCCCAGCATTACCAATCACCCTCATTACATTTACATCTGTTGTGATCACAGACATATTGTCCTACCTCATAATTACCGCCGCTCTATGTCTACTAAGCAAAGATAGTGCTGCTGCAAACTACAGAGGGCAATCCGTGAACAAATAAAGGCAGATTATGTAGGATTGGAGCAACTGAGTGACGTTTATGATCCTAAACAGATGTGTACAATAGCTTGATATACAGTGAGTGTACAAGATATAGTCATAGAGCTGTTAACCTCTGATTAGCTTTAGGTTAATCTGAGATTCTTATCCAGGTGACCGCTGGATACAAGTGGTCCCAACACTGGCCATTCTGGGCCATGTGTTTTTGAAATGTCTGAGCCAATAATACGCCTGGAATTCACCGGGGGGGTGCTCTCTCTCTCTCTGTTATGGAAAGAACAGATGGAGCTAATATGTTGTATACTCAGTGTACAGTTGACACACTCGGGCAGGATTAAAAAGTCAGTCTTCAATCAGATGGGCTTATATAGTAAGGTGGTGACATACTTCTTCTTATAGCGATGTGTCGCACTGAGCACCATCACTCCATCCTGTAAAGGAGAAAGATAACATGGAGGAAAAATGTACTGTACAGATACATTGTAAACAATGAAATGCATGCTTACAGCTTAGATACAAGTGGGCCAATGGGAGCAACGCTATCAGTCATACAGTAAGTACTATTTGCAGTGCCACTATACTGTAAACCACAGAGATTAGTGGGAGGACCACCCACTAATCTTGACAACCCACTCTGCTCAGTAATCCCTGTCAACAATGAGGCAATATAATGTCTACCACTCCTATATTCCTGTTCTTAATTTCATAGAGAGAGAGACTCTTCTGTAGCTATCAAGCTGCAATACAGTCTACTGCTGTTAGGACCCATGTGTAGGATTTAGTGGCATCTAGTGGTGTAGCTGCAGATTGCAACTCACTTGCTTCACCCGCACTTTTCCAACAAGAGAGACTATGAACAGAAGGAATAATTACAGAAAGTAAAAACTGTTTCAGTGTATGTACGGACAGGTTAGTGTTTCTTTTAAAGGTCTTTCACCAGTGAGTCACAGGAGGGCTTATATTGTGAAGCAGCTGCAGAAGGTGCAGCCTTATTGATGGGGGTCACCAACCCATTGTTAGTGAAAATGATCTACTGTAAATGATGGGACATTTTTCCTTTTAGCATGCTGTTCTTGTTGAATGGGAAAAGCTCTGATTCCAATTGCACACAGTACAGGTCAGGTGTCCCCACTCCCCAACGTCCCATAGTTTTTCTTGTAGTGCCCTGTTTATTCTAATATTTTGCAGGAAAAAAATATGGCTTTCTATTCAGCTTATTTCAGTCTAATAGCTATGAAATGATCCAATAAGCATGCCATTTAGCTGCAGCTGTAAGCCATAACAAAGGGAGTCAGCAGTCAGCATGATTTGGGAATTTTTAGCATCTTGAAAATAACACAAGAATGGTCTTGTTTATTTTTTTGTTTATATACTGTAGGTACACTGCAGCATTTTATCTGCTCCTGTACAAGTGTTTTTTATTACAGCTGCAAAGCTCCTGACGCCTGAGTTGCTTGCAAGAGAAAGATACATACTAAAAACAAAAACAATCCTTACAAACTAAGCCTACTGCAATATAAGTCAAGAACTACTACTACTGCTGTCAGCTGAAATGGAAAATACTGTGTGTGGGTTAGACTCTTGCTTGTGTGTATTTTTTTTTTTTACTTTCTGACACAGCTGTTAGTATTTATAGCTCAACATGCACCTTTAGTTTGTTTTTCCTGCCACAATGTGGGAAAAGGGGCAATCATCTGTCCTTCAGCTCGCCTATTAGCAGCCTGTTATCATTGTCGGCACTCCATATATACGATCTGCTGCGCAAGCTACATGCAAGCTCACTATCAGCTGCAGCAACTCACAGCTGGTCATTTATCAAGTGTCGCCATGGAAAGTATTCCCACATTCCAGCAGCCACATGGCGCTGAATAATAGCAAAACAAAAAATGTTTGGGGTGTGATTCAGTCAACTTGAGACCTTACCTTAATGGAGAGAGCATAGAGGTGGTTGAGCATGACATGGTTGGGTTCTGGGAGTAATGCAGGGTCACACTGGATATGAAAAAAAAACATGTTTAATGTTTCTACTGAATTCTGTAGATCTTTAGATACATATAGAGACGTTGTTCAATGCTTGACAAACGTCTATGACAGAAATGCTTCTTTTTCAAAAAACCTATTAAATATTTGGACTACATTATCTATATATTGTCATGTGACAGTTACAGCACAAAATAAAGAACAAGAAGTTCATTATTTCAGGAAAACAATTGTGAGCTACTTACAGAAATTCCAGTGTCTTTGTTGAGGATGACCTGTAACAGGTGAGGTGGGAGTATGGGTGGAGACTTAATCTTTTCTTCCTGTTTAGGTACATAGGCATCCTGGTGATACGGCCCGGGAGGAGAGCTAGAGAGGTCTGATTGGGGAAAGGAGGAGAGGCAGAGAGAGAGTGGAACATCATTTTCGAACCTTTCCACAGACCTGTTTATAAATCAAAGCCTCCTTTTCGCAAAAAAGGCACTGCGATACACATCACTGAATCTGGAGCACTCACCTGACATGTCAGAGCATTTCTGCGAGTCTACCATTAGAGCGTCGAACACCTCAAAGTCAGTTTTCTTCACCTGGATGACGTTGTTGACTGTCCCAAGTTGACTGGTTATAACTGGCTGTGAGGAAACACGAGACAATCAAATTCACAACAAGCCCAAAAGTATAAACCAGCCAGACACAGTATCATTTCTATTATTAATAACCACTGTCTAAGGCAAGGCAAATTACAGGTCAACAATAATTCAACTCTAATTGCTTGTAGGGCTGCACATTGATAATATGTACATATTGGCAATATCTCCAAATGCTATATCCAATTTGCAGGGGTGACAAAAGAGAATTATAATGAAGTACTGTAATTCTGAAAAGGTGCCCTGGCCTACAAATCTTCTTCTCCAGATTTAAGAGAACATGTTTGTTTGGTACAGTCCCTTGAATTTTAATAGGTAAAATTTTAGTCCCACACTAATCGTGAATCATATCACAATCGCATTATCTGTATCCCAATATGACATTTTTACCATGTCGTGCAGCCCTAATTGCTTGTTAAATACATAGCGTAATAGATATGGTCTAGATAATGGAGAAGAACTGCTGACCTCAGCTGGGTCGTGGGTCCACTGGCCATCCACATAAAACTTGTACTGATGCTCCCCTTCAGGTAGATCAACAATGGCCACAAAGGTGTTCTGACTTTGACAGATGACAAGAGAGAGCATTTGGCACAAAAGAGAGTTAACACAGTATTTCTCCATAGGTCTTTAACCACATCAATAATATGTATGCCCGCTAGTTAGGGAGCTAAATTTAAAGTCATTCTTTCAAGTCATTGAACTGGGCCTACAAAACCATTCAGAGATGTTTTATGAGTGTCGACTGTTGTTAGTTTAAATGGCAAATGGTTAACGTTTTCCTATAAAACAGCTAGTAATGAGTCTGGAATTATAATAGAAAAAAAATTGAGTTTAGGACGCCTGATCACCTTCTTATAAGGGGAATCTTGTTGGCCCAGTTGTTGAAGGATCCAGAGATGTAGACTTCCTTTCCATCTCCTGTCCACCGAAAGACCGTCGGTCGGTCTAAAGTCGGCCCTTTGTCATCTGCTTCCAAGTCTTGCTGCCATGCAAGGAACTCCTCTTTCTCTAAAGGAGCCTGAAATACCAATCAAACAACAAGCATTCATTAAGATGCTCCTTTATTGATTCCCCCGTGGGAGAAATTCAAGTTTGACACAGCAGCACAAGGGAGCAGTGCAAAACGTAGAGAAGTGTAAAAATATGATGAAGAATATTAAAATAAAATGATGAAGATATAATAGAAAATATAAAGAACTATAATGAAAATACATACACTATATGCAGTATGCAAGAAAGAAACATGGAGTGCAAAAAATATTTCAAACAGTGCGGAACTAACGGATTTATAATTTATCTGACATATAAAATGTCTTGGGGCAGAACCATGCTGGCAACAGATAAACTATCTGTGATAGCAGCACAACTTACTTTCATGTCTTCACCGTGAAAAATATCTGCATCCTCTGGGCTGTCCATCAGAATTTTTGGCCTCTCTCCCTCCTTGGTACCCCTGCTGTCCCTCCGCTGAGCCTTCTCCCCCTGGCCCATGGCAGCCCTCTCGCTGCTTGTATTCCCCATGGCTTTGTCTTCTTGTGGGCTGGTGCAAAGTCACTGAGTGAGCAGGAGTTTTACAGCTAAGCAGCAACTCAGAGAACAACGCACAATATCTGACATTTCTTTTTTTCAAATAAGGTCATTAATCATTAATAGCAGCTGCTGGAGCACTGGCAATAAAAAGTTGCTTTTTAAGATCGCATGACTCAAATGAGAAAGATAAAAAAAAAGTTACACCTTGAGGACTACCTAGAATGATTTACAATGAGTGCACCGGCAGGACAAGTGAACTAAAATGGTGGCAAATGACGAGCAGCCGTGGGTCAGACTCAGAACCACGTAGAACCACGTAGAGGGACTTGGCAGGCTTATAGTCCACATCTGACAGCTGAATTTACCAGGTCTTTGCACAATACGGCTTTAAGAACAAAACCTACTGTATGATCTTAACACAATCTCTGCAGCTGCGGGAACTGAATGGAACTGGACGAGCATTTGTCAGTGCACCACCCGCCAGGCGCCCGCATTGTTCTACTTGAAGCATTTTGTTATGCTAGGCTCCGAATTATCCTTGCATAGCATTTCTTTCAGCATGATATCTACTCTCATTAAAGGACCTTTACCATTGTCAGACTATAACACTGTGTTTGTTCTGAACAGTTTCCCTACCTTCATTTAACTACCGTATAAAACAATCAAGATTATTATATTGGCTGTGTTAGTAAGCAAGGGTAACATAACCTTGACAAAATAAATGCAGATTTGGCATTTACAGTAATGGATTACCCATTTCCAGGATGAGTGCATATTGAGTTTCATATGAAGTGAAACCAACTGCCAGAGATGACCTTGAAAGGTTGTTTCAAATTGTGAAAAGACTTAGAAATTAAATAGATTTAAAGCAACATCATTTCTTTTTATCATTTCCAACAAGTGTTACTGGAACATGTTTGGTGATGCAGTACTGTTTGTTGTCATTAATACTAAAACACAGTTTAAGGTTACGTGAGGGCTCGTGTTACTAGCTGTTCTGGTGTAATATACCAAAAACAAACACATCAGATAACGATTTACCAAAAGCTCTTATTTTATATTAATGCCATTAAGAACAAAAGCAGTTTTCCCAGGGTATTTTTTCCACTGTATGACAGTAACACGCTTTTGAATAAAGCAACAGACATGGTGTTCCGACAATAATCATATGAAGAAGTAATAAGATGCAGCAGCATTAACGCTGTGCCACGACTTCATGTCCACTCCACCAGCGACAGGCGCAGCGTAATGTTGACATTAGCCAGCAGAGGCAGGTAGACGCTCCGTTAGCTCATCTTAAAAGCCGAAAGCACAAAAATAAACTCAATTACTCGTGAGATTATCGCTTGATTTCGCTCGTATTGGCTGGGCTGCAGATAGTTCATTTCGGGTCCATGCCTCAGGAGCAATAAGAGCTGGCAGACGGTGTAGTTTACTAAAGCTAACGTTGGTTAGCAGCTAGCTATCATCAGTGTGTTGTTAGCCGGCTGGACGTCCTGTTAATATAAACGCAACTACTGGCTGCTACACGGAGGAGCTACCAGTTCAAACAATGCATGCACCGACTATACATACAGACAGTCGTGAAGCCTTTTACCTGAAAAGCGTTTGCCGTCGTAGCTGCCAGCTTTAGCTCCTCAGACTCATTTCACCGGAGAACAAAACAAAACATTTCGTCATGCTAAACAAACACACCCCCTGCTTTGCGCACGCGCAATAGATCAAACATTAAAAACAAGCCTCCCATAATTAAACACTGCTGAATAATCAGCCCCACATGCACA